TGATCCGCTGAGTTTGTACAATATGTCGTCTATGGTGGGCAGCATGAATCGTTCACGCTTCACCGACAGGTTGAGCTTTTTCGGATCTGTGCAGATTCTAACGCTACCAGACCTTTTTCTGACCGGGACCATGGGCGCGCACCAGTCAGTCGGAGCGCTGATCTTCTCAATGACACCTGCGGCTTCCATGCGGTCTAGTTCAACTTTAACTTCGTCCATGAGTGGAATGGGAATCCGACGTGCGACGTTCACGGAGTATGGCTGTGCATCTTCTTTCAAGATGATTTTCAGTGGCTCGCAGCGTATAGGTTGAGGTCTCACATCGCCGAATACGAGGTTGGCAGAGTCTATTCTGTCTCGAGAAATCAGTCCCAGATGAACTGCGGCGTCGCGACTGAGAAGACAGTCGGTGTCGTCGTCAAGTACGAAAACACGGAACGCAAAGTTGCGATTGTTATGCTGCGTAGTTGCGATAAATTCTCCCACGCTCGTTATGACTCCACCAGTACTGCGAAGAACTGCAGACCGTGTTTTCAGCTTTGGACGAGGACTGAGCCGGTTGTAGAGGGCCTTCGACATGATCGAAACATCGGATGTAGCTCTCCCTCCAAGGTTCAGTGTAACGCGCCATGGTGGCTTGCTAACTTCACCGTAGTTTACATCGGTAACGACATTACTGTCTCTGTCAACAGCACCTAAAAAGAACGAAGGAGTTTCCGATTCGGTGATTTCGTTGACATTGCGGCTGCTGCTGCGACAGACTGTTGCGAAGTGATTGCGCTTGCTGCATTTCCTGCAAGTTTTCCCACGCGCTGGGCAATTGTTTTAGGCATGACCTCTTCCACAGTTGCCGCAGTTAGAGAAAGTTGACGGTGATGCATGGCTGCCACTGTGTTGTGAGTGTGTACCTGTTCTTCGGCCGCCTCTACCCCTGGGGTGAGCAGGCGACGAATATCCCCTCTGGCCGTAGCGCACTGAATCTACTGTGACTGCTGCACCTAGCTGACGTTGGCTACTGACCTGACCCTTTACGAGCTCGAAACGGCGGGCTGTTTCGATGGCTGATTTCAAAGTAAGAGTTGCCTCGAGTTGTAAGCGCTGTGACAGTTCATTGTCCAGTACTCCTAGGACGAGTCTATCCCTTATGGTTTCATTTCGGTCCTTAAAGTCTGCATGTTCTGAAAGTTCGTACAGGGCACTAACATATTCTTCTATCGTCTCCCCACTGTTTTGTGCTCGTGCATGAAACTTTGCTCTTTCGTGGATAAGATTCCGCTTGGGGACAAAGTGAGCGTCGAAATTCTCTAAGACAGTGTCAAAGTTGTCCCTAGGATCGTTACCTTGGACGGGAGCAGGGAATGTGAACGTGTTAAATATCTGTTCAGCTTGGCGTCCCATAGCGTAAATTAATGAACTTACTTGAATTTCTCCGGTCTCTGCACTCAGTTTGGTGGCTGTGCGGTATCGTAGCATACGCTGTCGCCACTCGGGCCACTCGTGAGGTTTCGAAAAATCAAATGGCTCAGGAGGCTTGAAATGAGGCATTCTGACACTTGTGACACGTTATCCACTGACTTCTGACACCATGTAATGTTAGTATACACACACGACTGTAAACTGGAGAGACGAACACACACGACAGCAAGCATTCTAGAAATGAGCCCAGGTGTAGTGTCTGACTTTTTATGTTGATCCCCGAAGTGAGTAACATTAACCAAAAGCCCATGGCATACGGGGCGGGGCGCTTACGTCCCGTGATTAAAAAAGAGTAAGGTACAATACGGTGACTACCGTGACATCCCCCTCCAGGGTACTGAGAGTGGATAGGACGTCACCTGACACAGGAGCTCAACTGACTGTTCTTTTTTCTGGGCGTAGATCGATACCAGCACATAATTCAGCAAGTGGAATATTTTGATTTATTTTCTAAAGATACTTCTTCATTCGAGAGGCAGGAAAGGGGAACATAGTTTTGGTGCTGATAAAAACGTTTTCAGAGCGGAATAAGAATGAGATGCCGTCGTCACCCCAGCCGATTCATGGAATTGGTTTGGTATCGTAACCAGGTGGTGGCGTAATTGCTGTTTGAACGGTCCAATGACCTTCCTCTTGGAACTAAGCTTCTGTAATACTCAATACATCATGTTTTCCTCCTCAATTATTATATTATCGATAACACCAGCGTCGCGTCTGCGATGTAGCAGTAAAGCACTCCACCCTATCTAGCTCACTAAAGCCCTCATAGTACGATTCTCGCGAGGTGGGGGGTGGGGGGGGGGACACGTGGATCTCGGTCTTCATGCTGGGATATTGCATCCCTCTCAACCGAGTTGACCATAAAAATCGAGGTCGAAGCCCGCTTCTCAATTCATCTAAATTTTGTCCATATGGACGGCAAACATCTGAAAAAAACCCCAACCCCTTCACTGATTAATTCAGTTTCCTTCATACAAAAGTGGACATAGAGGCAAGAGACTCTGTACATGGGAGAATCCACAGGGAATATATTTCTACAATCAACATAGAATTTTACATAACATTGGTTTTGCTTACAGTCTTCTGCTTAAAAACAACGTTGGCTTCATAGTATTTCTTTTCTACTAATCCCAGGCATGGCTGTGTTTATGTTTTGGCTGTTTTCTGACTGAACGCATTGCAAAGAATTTCTCTTTTTTTGTGAACCTTTTGACTACCCCATCCCCTTTATCTTCTGGGAACATTTATGTCACTTGTGTGATTGGTATTAATTACCTTGTCTGATTCTGCTTCCTGAATAAATGAGGCCTTTGTCAGGCTCTCTGGCATTTGTCCACAACTCAACTCAGCGCAACTTCTGATAGGTTACTTTTCCGTATTTCGATTTTTCAATGAATGTACATCTTCTTAACTCCGTCTTTACCGGTGTCTATGATGTGTCCGATTAGACAGTTCCCTTTTGCACCCAGAAGACCCGAATTCAAATCCCGTGAGGAGATGATTTTTAACGAATATTTTAGTCTTTCAGCTTGGATGTTGTCTCCCTCTTCACACGGGTTGGCCCTTTCAGACAGGGTCAAAGTCCGCCTCCTAAATTATCTAACATTTCGCTCTCTTTATCAAAAATCCCTTCCTCTCTCTCTCCCTCTTTCTCTTCCCCTCTCTCTCCATCTCCCCCCCTCTCTTTTTCTCCTTCTCTTTCTCCATTCTCTTCCCTCTTCTCTTTCTCTCTCTCTCTCTCTCTCTCTCTCTCTCTCTCTCTCTCTCTCTCTCTCGCTCTCTCTCTCTCTCGTTCTCTTTCTCTTCTCTCCTCCTTCTCCTGTTTCTGTCATCTTTCTTT